GCTATAACAGACACTTGTCAAATGGTATTCCATAGATTGAAACTTAGTTATATGACCAAACATAATTTTAAAGGAAGTAGTATTTATTTTAGACAATGACTTTCCCAGATATATGTTTTTCCCTGTGGCATAAAAGGAGCAGAAACAAGATCTACAATTGGAGTGTATTAATCGCATATATTGCATTTTATGTATGTCTTGCATTTTACATATGTAGTTCATAACATATATTAAAATCGGCATGTTACAATTACTCTGGGCTGGAGCGGTAGCACAGCAGTAAGGCGTTTGCCTTGCACGCAGTCAACATGGCCGACCTGAGTTCGATTCCTCCACCCCTCTCGGAGAGCCCAGCAAGCTACCGAGAGTATCTCGCCCGCACGGCAGAGTCTGGCAAGCTCCCCGTGACGTATTTGATATGCCGAAACACAGTAATGAACAAAGCTCACGATGGAGACGTTACTGGGCCCGCTCGAGCAAATTGATGAACAACGGGAGGACTGTGACCGTGACAATTACTCTAGAACTTTTGGGTTCTAATTATGGAGAGCTGAAGTAACAATGTTGAACTTCAGTGGTTAATCTACTATACTACATTCATGGTTTATAATACCCTGGTTGTTGACATAGGAGTGAAAAGGAGAAGTCAGAGCAGATATAGATGATATAATTCACAAAATAAGATGACTGAATGTTGGAGGAGGTAGAAAGGTAGATTTAGAATTAGTCTCAAGTTTAAAAGCAAATGGTCTCTGGCAATTGGACTAAATAGGTATTTTGGCAACTACATCATAGAGCATAGTAAAATTAATGGTAAAGTTAATGCTATAAATTGACCCAAAATCTGACCTTCATCTATTGCTTCACTGCCAACGATTTTCTGTTGAATGGATTAATGAGGTTAATAAACTCCAAGTAGTTAATCTTTCACAAGAAAAGTTGAATAGGTGTTAGTGACTTACCTTGGCCAGTTATTATGTTCCCTCTCCTGATTCATTACACTGCACAGGCAGGACTTCTTAAAATTAAAATTCTGAGTTCTTGAGGCAATTTTTGGACAATCTATTCATTTAGAGTTGGTATGGTGCTCTGTACTAATGTGAAGTTAAAAATCATTAAATGATTAAAGGAACACATGCCCGGTTCAATAAATGCTAGCTTCTATCTCCTTCTGAAAATATATACTATCTAAATGCACTAGTTCAATAAATATTTATTCAGCAATTGCCATTTTAGATACTGTGCTGAGTTCTGGAGTGCAAAGTTGAATTTAGACATAGAAAAATATATAGTGGTTTTTATTTCTGACTACTGAACATTGAGTAAATTCTGATCATCTCAGCATGTCTGTTCACTGAATTGATAAGGGCAGAGGATATGCTTGTGTTCTCTTTCCTCTGAATCCCAGACCTTAGCACAAACATTAAACATAACATTTTTGGAGGCAATTACATGAATGTCTGCTAAGATGCTCCTAAAAATGGGCTCCAGGGGTCAGAGAGATAGCACAGTGACTAAGGCACTTGCCTAACATACATCCAGCTTGGGTTCAACTCCTGGAACCCTATATAGAACACCCAGGGACCATAGTAATCCGTCAGCCTGACCAAAGAGCCAGGAATAAGCTCTGAGCACAGCTGAGTTGCCACCACGCAAAATGGGGCCCAAGACCCTCTACTGGAATGACTGTTGGAGAAATAAGCTTGAGGAAAAGGTGAATTTAGAACAAATTGAAAATGCCTGTTGGGCATCCTGTGGGACCTGTCCCATCACTCGAATACTTCAAAAGCCGAATAATTAACTAATATCAATACTTCATTGGTAATTTACCCAAAGAACAGGTGAAGTAGAATCTTGACTGAGAATAGTAGAGAGCTCCTATTCGACGAATCAAGCTAAAGCAGAGAAACTTCCTCTAGAGTCAGCCTCTGTATCATTTATAAGAACATTTTAAAAAATAAAAGAGGTGGCCTTCCAAGCAATGTTAAAGAGACCCAGGGAATTACTCCCTGCAATTTTGGAAAATTGCTGCCAAAAGAAGCACCATTCCCTGCAATATGGAGCAACTGGGCCATTCTTCAGCCTGGCCATAATGCAGCTCTGGTCTAGCAGTGGTAGACACTGCACAAGGGCCAACCGAGGACATGTGGGCCAGAATCAAGTACATGAATACAAAACATGTACTTCAGATTTTTGTGCTATTTCCTTACAAGAAGGCAATAGATAAGAGCTATAAGAACTATTCTTAAAAGATTTATGACAAAAAATGGTGGAATGTGCTATCATAATAAATAAATAACTAGCTCTTTCTGATTCTTTCATTTGGCTTAAATATGATTTGTATTGTTTAATGTGTTGAATAAAATATCATTAATACTATTATAATGCAAGGAGCTGCTGCTAGAATTGGTCAGTTCTATATATTATTCAAACAGAAAATTAAATGAACTCGAATTCAGCAACAGTATCATTAAAGGCCTTAGCTTATCATCAGCTTCTTTAGTATCTTTCGCATCTATCACCTCACACCAGAGAGACTGGCACACATCAAAAAGAACAAAACACAACCAGTGTTGGCAACGATATGGGGGGAAAGGACCTTCATGAACTGCTGGTGCGAATGTTGACTGGTCCAGCCTGTTCGGTTATTTGCTTATTTTATAAAATTGTTCACAATATTTAATATTTGAACACCAATCCCACCACCATTACATTCCCACCACCATATTTCCATCCTGAACCCCAAACCCTGCCCCCCAAGCAGAACTGAAATAGTTTATTTTGTATTGCTTGTTATGAATAATCTGCTGAAAATGGGATTAAAAAAAAAGGAAAGTGTGTGAAGATTGTTGTATTTCACCCAGGTGCCATTAAGACATTCTGTAAGAGATTTAGTAACACGCTGTTAAAGGTTAAATCTTGTATTTGTGTGTGTGTGTGTGTGTGTGTGTGTGTGTGTATAAATGTATTTCTTTCTAAGAAGATTGCTTACCTTCTACTTTAAACCCCATCCAATGTGGTGTGCTACTTTTGGTATATTTTTGGTGTAAAGTATGAGAGGCCCAGGAACAGATTCACTCATGGGTGAGGACCATCTAGGAGTGTGGAGAGTGGCCATGAGTATGGCAGCGATTGAGTTCTGAAGGTTTTCAGCTACCAGGGCTGGCTCTGTTGGAGCAGGGAGGGCCGTTACCCACCCTCCTCTGGATTGCCCCAACTGAAACAGCCTGGCCGCAGGGTCTGGTTGCATGGCTATGGTGTATTAGTCCAGTCTTTTTGAATGACAATATGGTCATTCCTCGAAAAACTAGGAGTTGAGCTTCTATATGATCAAGCAATTCCACTCCTTGAAATGTACCCCAAAGGTGCAATGGCACAATGCAGAAAAGACATCTTCTCACCTATGTTCACTGTAGCACTGTTCACAATAGCCAAAATCTGTAAACAACTTGTGTCCAAGAACACGTGACTGGAGAAAGGAACCATGGTACATATACACAATGAAATATTACTCAGCTTTAAGAAAAGATAGTTATGCAATTTTCTGCTACATGGATAGATCTAGAAAGTGCAAGGATTAGAGATCAGAAGGAGAGGGACAGACACAGAATGACCACTCTCATGTGGGATATAAAGGAACTTCTCTGAAGGAAACAACAAAGCCCCAAAGGCAACAGAAACAAAGAGCAGTTGAAGAAATGAAAACAGTTCTTCATAGGAAGTTTGCCACGGGAAAGAGGATGGAGGGGGGTAAGTTAGGTAGGGGAACACTGTGACAATTTTGGAGGGGGGAAATGCATGCTCTAGATGCAGGATGGGGGCAGGAGGAAAGCTGGAGACACTGGTGGAAGTGAACACTGATGAAGGGATTGGAGTTGGAACTTTGTGTGCCTGAAGCTTAATAATGAATAACTTTGTAACCTTGTAAACCATGGTGACTAAAACAATTTAACAAAAGAGAAATTAAATGAGACAGAGACCAGAGATAGAGAAATCCAGATAGAGATAGAGGTGCAGAGACACAAAGAGAGAAACAGAAAAACAAAAAACTCAACTAAAACACAATGGTGGCGGGAATAGGACACTCTGGTGGTGGGTGTCACGTGGGATTGTGTTAGGCACACACAAAAAAATTAAAAGAGAGTGGGCATCCTTGTCTTGTCCCTGATCTTAGGGGGAAGGCTCTCAGTTTTTCCCCATTGAAAAAAAATTGTAAATCTACAACTGTACCTCATGGCGTTTCACTAATAGAAATATAAATAAATAAATAAATAAATAATAACTTAAAAAAATTAAAAGAAAGAAAGAACGTGGTCTCTCACAGCTAAAGGACTGAGTAGTCCTGCTCCAATGTGGACAACTGAGGTTTTCTCTATCTTACAAAATGAGCATGAAAAATGTGGCTCCCCATAAGCAGAGAGAGTAAGAGGGAAACTGTCTGCCATAAAGGCAAGGGGAGGGGTGAGAGGGAGAGAACGATACTGGGGACATTGGTGGTGGAGAATGTGCACTAGTGGAGGGGTGGGTGTTCAATTATTTTATGACTGAAACGCAAACATGAAGGCTTTGTAAGTGTAGTTCATGGTCATTCAATTGAAAAAGAAAAAAGTGGCTCTGTGCTGCCCCTCCTTAACTTGCTGGGACTCCTCCCTGAGTCTCTCTTAATGGAAATTCTGAGTTACCTCTGTTACCTTCACCATACGGAGAAAGGACGGAGGCTCAGCTGAACTCAGTTTCTCTCTCTTCCCTTTCAGAATGCATCACAGATGGTCTCTACATGACGTGGCTTCAACAGACTCAAGGACCACCGAACTTAGAAGTCTGTAGTGGAGAAGGCAGACATGGAACTTCAAACACCACAGCTTCCACTCTGCTCTTAGTCTCTCTGTAGAGATGTGCCCCCTCCACAGGGAGTGAGCTACCCCCAGGGCAAGCGTTCTCAGGAGCCCCAACCACCAGCATTCGCATTCGTGTCTCTGCTTTGCAGGGAAAGCAGAACAATGGCATTTTATAGCTGCTGTTTGTTCCTCTTGGCATTTACCTGGGACACTTCCGCCTACGGACCTGACCAAAGAGCTCAGAAAAAAGGTGACATCATCCTTGGGGGGCTCTTTCCTATTCATTTTGGAGTCGCAGCCAAAGATCAAGACCTAAAGTCGAGGCCAGAATCTGTGGAGTGTATCAGGTAAGGGAAGGGGCCCGGCAGATAGTCTGTCTCTTCTGATAACTTGAAGAAAAACTATACTAAACCCAAACTATATTTTCCCAAACTTTGTTCTCACTTTTCAAAAATGGCATTCACAATAAAGCTTTTTATTCTTCATTTCAAAATAAGTCCCCCCTAAAAATATTAACAGGTACTGGTTAGAGAACTGTTGTATCATATGCCCAGTGACTTGATAGCTGATCATCGCTGTTCTGGCAGTAGTTTTGCTGAATAGAAGTACCTCAAAAAATATATGCAGGAGCAGTAGTACATAGGGGAGGACGCTCGCCTTGCACACAGCTGAACGTGGCTTGATCCCCAGCATCCCACGTGGTTCCCCAAGCCCTTAAGGGATGATTTCTGAATGCAGAGCCAGGAGTAAACCCTGACCCTCTGACCTGACTGGCCCTACAGCAGTTTATAAAACTGAGCATTAGCTGTCTCATTTAGAGAAAGGATTTTAAAGTTGGGGGGAAAGTTAGTAGCAGTGATTTTGAAATCACTCCCACCAGAAACTCTTTCTTACAGAAAACTGAATTTATCTCTGCTAAAGCCGAATATATAAATGGAGAAACATAATTCCATCAAGCTCAACCACAGGCCTTTAACCGTTTGCCAACAGCCAGCAGGTCCCCATGTGTCGATAGTTTTCAGACACAGGTCTGTACAGTAGGATTGGTCTGAAGAAATTTCCTGTTAGCCTGTTAGGTTGTCCTGGAGTTGTCCTGAAGTGATGTACACCTTTTATTGTATGAGGGAAAGGAAAGAAAATGGGATTAGCTATAGAGATGTTTTATAAGAAAGAGATTCTATCTCAATAACTGTAAGTTTTAAATGAATCATGAACAAAATCATGAAGAAAAATAAAGAAATTAACTAAGATAAATAGTTATATTTAGTATTAAAACTGAGCCTCGGCCAGGGAGATAGCTCAAAGGGCTGGAAGTCATACTTTGTATGCAGAAACTCCAGAATTAATACCTCATATCACATACCTGGTACCAAATGCTACCAAGAGTGGCCCCAAGCACCACACCATAAGTAGCCACTGAGTACTGCCATGTGTACTGTCCCCACTAAAAAATTAGAGTTGGATATTTAGAAATATAAACAAAACCATGTACTGTAACAAGTTGCAGTTCTCACCACCTGTCTTTGAGTGTCAATATTAACACCCAACATCTTGAGAGAAATTCTGTGGAATTGCATTTTCTCCTTTGGGCACTGAAATACAAAGGCAGCATGTTTTGTTCATACAAAGGAACCCTTGCTCTGAGCCACGTTCTGAGAGAGCGAAACCATGTTATTGCCCTATTTCTTTTTCTCTTGTTTGATTTTTATTTAAAATACTTGGGGCTGGGGGGGGGGGGGGGGGTTGAAGAGATAACATAGCAGGTAGACCACTTGCCTTGTACAAGGCCGACACTGGTATGACCCCTGGCACCCATGTGGTCACTCTAGCCCTCCAGGAGTGACCCCTGAGCACAGATCCAAAAGTAAACCTTGAGCACCACTGGATGTGACCCACTTGTTACTGCCAAAAACTACCATCCTTCTTTGAAAGCAAGTGAATTTTAATTTTTCCTTTTAGTGCCAGGAATTGAACTCAGGGCCTCACCTTACAAGGTAAATACATGGTAATCTTTTCAATAAAAATTATATAGCACTCAATTCTGGAGTCACCCACATCCCTCTTCTTTAAATATGCATTTCTTCCTTTTATTTCATGCCACTCCACTCTAGAATTGCCCACATCTGTACTCTGGGTGTACCAATTTCTTTTCTTTACTGGACTCCCTATTCTGTTCCTTAAAAGAAATAAATTAAATAAAGTAGATAGTGCAAATAATTAACACACAACAATTCTAATAAAATTTACCATTTCACCACCCCAAAATCGTCACTGTTTATATATGACCTTTTTATGCTTGATGTTTGTTGTTTATGAAAATAAAATCATTCATTTCCCTTCGGCCTCCAGGAATTTCACAATCTAAAATTTTTACTACAAAGCTAAGGCTTTCTTTTTTCAGGTTTCCACATATTAACGTCATAAGTTTTTTTCTATTAAAATCTCTATATTACTTTCAATGAAGTGCCTCACACTGACTTAGAATTCTTTACTGGAAGAGGCAGACTCAAACAACTCATTCTCTTACTAATAACAATCTATTATTATGTCTCCCTTGTTCTGTCAGCACCATGCTGAGAATTGTGTTTAACTGCCTATGGTTCACCACCACTGTAGGTGTGGTCCCTGTTTCCAGAGGCCCTGGAGTCTCAAAGAACACAAGACCCGAAAACTGAAGACTCAGAGCATCACAACTCAAACCCAGCTTGGCCCCAGGCCTTATTCTGAAACTGCTGACCAGAGAGCTTTTCATTTTCTCCCACTTCTTATCTCCTCCAGATATAACTTCCGTGGATTCCGTTGGTTACAAGCGATGATATTTGCCATCGAGGAAATAAACAGCAGCCCGGCCCTTCTCCCCAACATGACACTGGGCTACAGGATATTCGACACTTGCAATACCGTTTCAAAAGCTCTGGAGGCCACCCTAAGTTTTGTGGCACAGAACAAAATCGATTCTTTGAACCTTGATGAATTCTGCAACTGCTCAGAGCATATCCCCTCCACCATTGCTGTGGTAGGAGCAACTGGTTCGGGCATCTCTACAGCCGTTGCAAACCTGCTCGGGCTCTTCTACATCCCCCAGGTACTCCTGCCTTCGCTGCCAGCCCGAGAGCAGATGGGGAGAAGCGGGCTCTGAGGAGTGCTATGCCCCTGCCCAAACAGCTGGCTGGCTTCCAGCTCTACTTTGCAAGGGCATAAAACACCTTTTATTTAGTCAGGATAACTAAACTTTTCTTTAGTTTTATGTCAATTGTTCATGCCTAGTTGTTTCAAGACTTTTCTGAAATTATTTTACTTTTTTTTCACTTTATTAAAATACTGTGGTTTACACAGCTGTTCAATACTGTTGTTTCAGGCATTCAATGTTCTACCACTTGGTGTGACCCAAAAACAAAAGGAAGAGAGCAAGGGAAAGAGAGAGGAAGGAAGGAAGGAAGGAAGGAAGGAAGGAAGGAAGGAAGGAAGGAAGGAAGGAAGGAAGAAGAAAGGAAGGAAGAAGAAAGGGAGGAGGGAAGGAAGGAGGGAAGGAAGGAAGGAAGGGAGGGAGGGAGGGAGGGAGGGAGGGAGGGAGGGAGGGAGGGAGGGAGGGAGGGAAGGAAATCAAACTTGGTCTTTCTCAAAGTACTCAGTTATTTCTTTCCTACTCCATTCCTTTATGACCTTTTTTGGAGGGAGGGAAGTTATAAAAAAAATGTTCACTAAACTATAGATTTCAACTTTCCCCGCTGTTATCCTCCAAATACTGGTATCATGGTCTCACACACCCTGTCCTCCTAGAAATTCTGCTTTCATTGATTTGAGCAGAACTGTAGGGTACCAATTGTCAAAGTTTCTGATTGACAAAATACCTGTCCCTAATCCTGTTCCCTTAAAAGCCTGCTATCTGGTTGCAGGTTTAGCTCTGGGACCAAAGAGATAGTACAGGGGTTAAGGAGCTTGCCTTGCATAGGGCTGACTTCTTTTTGATCCCTGGCATCAGATATCATATGGTCTCCCAAGGGCCATCAAGAGTCATCCTGAATGGGATAACCCCTAAGCACTATCAGGTATTGTTCCCTGAGACACACACAGAGAGGAAGAGAGAGAGAGAGAGAGAGAGAGAGAGAGAGAGAGAGAGAGAGAGAATTTAACTCAATGGAAGCAGAGCATAAATTTCACAAATCAGGAACTTAGTAGTTATCTTGCATGGTTCAGAAACAGAAATTGTCTATTTCATTAAATAAATATTTTTATAAAACATATATGAATAAGCAGCCTTCACCCTGCAAAACAGACTTGATAAGAAGATATATGCATTTTCAAATACCAAGAATTCACTCAAAACTAGGTGGTATAAACATTTGTTTAAGGTAACACAGGAATGTTATTTTTTCAATGAAACAAAAGAAAAAAACAGCAGATTCTATAGAGTAAACCATTTTTTCATGTTAAATTTATAGCTCTATGTAAACAACCTAAATGCCCATGGGTAGGAGAATCAGTTCAGTTATGTTACATTCCTTATAAAAATTTTAACTTTAATTATAAATTATGCTATATATTTTTAAAGGATTTCAATTTTTTAAGAATTTAAAAATTTACATTTAAAAATTTATATTTCTAGGTTGGGGGGCTCATTTCCTTTGTTATAGGTATGTGTGACAATTATGAAAGTCTTGTCATCACTTCCTGAATCCTTACTTCAGGGAATTAGAGGTGTTTTTCAATGGGGAAGCCCTAACTCTGTAACTTTTTTGCCAACGAAGTCCACATCAATAAACATATCGGGAAACCTGAAAAATATTTGACACATGTATTTTAAACACTTGTTTTAAAGTAATTGGTCTCAGCCAACAGGCCAAAGGAATCATGGCCACCAAAAAAATGAATAACATGAAGGGGAAGATTTTAGTCCTCTGTAGGTTGAATGAAAATAAAATTAGGTTGAATTTTGGTTATAAACTTGCTGAGGAGACTATAATGATTACCAGGCAGACTAACGTAAATTTATCTACAGGCTGTGGCTTTGTCGTGTCTGCATGTGGGCACCATTTGGGAAGCTGCACAATCTGATATGCGGTGTGAGACATTTTCTCCTGCCAGAAATTCTGGCTTAAATTGATAGGTGATGCAGCTGGCATCCAGAGTCCCTGGAGCCATCCTCAAGGGTACTGAGTTGAGAACTGCAGCCTTGGTATTTCTTCAGGAGGTTGATGCCACCCAGTGGATGGAATAGCTAAAGCCACCTAATGGGTGGAGTTGAAGAACAGTTGGGCAAGTTGTGGTTAAAACAGATTTTCTGAATCATTCATGAAATTCTCCCCTCTTACAATAAAAAAGTTTTGTGTGTTTTAGGGTTTTTTCTAGAGGAGTGGTGGGCACAAAGTGGTACTTACCCCCACTTTTTTAGTTTGCTTTAGAAAACCTGGGAAAATATTTAAATATTCTTCAAGAGAAATGTCATGGGGGATATATGTCTTCTCTTTTTTTCATCCCTTTAAAGTTTTTTCAGCTTGTTTTTAAAAAGATCAACTAGTAAGTAGTAACAAATGGATTTACACAAAGCCCGCCCAAGGCTTTTTATTTATAAAATCCTGATTTAGATATGCATTGTTTTGATCTACAAATAGAATTCTTCAAAAACAATTGTATCTCAATAAATTGCTTAACTACTTACTGTATAACTTCCCACAGTAGATAAAGAGCAGTAGTAGTGATATTACTCTAATGTAGAAAAACAAATTGTCAATTTCATAAAGGCTCTTTTCAAAAGAACCAGGTTTGCTCTTTAGTAAAGTAGTTCCAGTCCTTTCATACACCAACACCCTTTATGTTTTTACTGGTGAAAGCACTCCATGGTAAAAGTAATATATTGGAAAATTTTATATTTTAAAACAGTGAACATAAAAACTAAGTGTTTTGATTGATGAAAAATAGAAAAATAATAAGGCATTCCTCAAACTTCTTCAACTTTATTTAAAATCTCTCTGAAAACTGTAGAGAAACAAGAAATATTAAGTGTTGGGTGGGCTTTATGTAAATCCATTTGTTACTGATTGATCTTTTGAAAATCTTTTACCAAGAAGAAATTCTATCGAATATTATTCTTCAAAGGAAAAATTAGTGGAATAACTTGGATTTTCTAACTGCTGAGCTGGGAAACAAAGGAATGATGTAGGTAGACTAAAACTGCCAAAATATGGATTCCCTCATGCTTTGGAGAGGCTAGAGGGTACTGAGGTGGTCAAAGCACAAAGCACAGGCCTCCTACACACACACACACACACACACACACACACACACACAGGGTTGGTTAGCCTCCTCACCAATCACATTTTCCTATGTTTGACATAATTTTTTTTTAGTGTCGGGGACTTTTAAACTTCTAAACCTTTACAAGATGTTGAAGTACTTCTTTTACTGCCACAGAAACTGTCTGAGAAAGTGGAAATATATTAAGGAAACTCCTTCAGGGTTCTTCTTCAGTTTCTCTCAGCACTGGAGACCTAGATCAACAGCCTATGAAGCAGCCTCAGCTATTATGTGAAATCAAACAGTGTAAAAGACTCCTGAAGGCATTTAAACTCATTAACAACCTAGGAGAGAAAAGAATTTTTCTGACTATATTTAATAACACACATAGTTGGTTTTTGTGGTACAGAGGAATTGAACCTGATGAATCCAAATGGCTGTAGTACTGTAGCACTGTTTGGACTTGCACATGACTAGTTGAGCTAAATGATGTCTATTTCTGACAAATGACTGCAGTAGAGGGCCTGAAGATGGCTCAAAGGGCAAGATCACATGCTATGTATGAGAGTCCTTGGTTCCATCCTGGGCACTGCATGGTCAGCTATGACCAGGAGAAATGACTAATTGAGGGCACCTTTATATAAAGTGCCATAAGCAGGAAAAGGGGAATTGAGAAGGGCATGAAAAAAATAGCTAAGAGGCAGAGAAACTAGGTGTAATGGGAAAAGAGAACCTCTTGAAGCATCTTGGAAAAGCCTTAGGTTTATAGCCCATGTGAAACTATTAGATTCTAGAAGTAAATTGTTAATGAAGTATTTGTTACTGTAAAAGGAAAGCTCAGACACCTTGATTCAACATGCAGAAAATGTATATGTGAATATAAAACAACCAATGATGCAACACTGGGGAAACTTGGGAGGTGTGTGGAACAATGCTTAGACTCTTTGAAAGAGTCTAGACATATTTTCACACTGTTGGGTAGATATTGTGGCCAGACTTAATTTTGGTTTTTGTTTTTCTAATTTTGTGGGGTCTGGGATTGAAATGAAGACTCACACATGCAAGGCTCTGTCACTGAGCCATGTTCCTGGCCTTTACAGTCTCATTTTTGAAGATATCAGATGAACAGTCATTCACTGGGAATTATAATGCTTCCTGGTTGACTGGCAAGTGCTTGGGTGGAGAGGAACCCATCTTGGTTAACCTTTCCCTTTTTTCCTGTCTGCATTGTCCGGCGTATTAGGCCAATGAGATTAATGAATACTCAAAAACCCACCTCTGCAGACTGAATGAGGCCAGCATTCAAAATAATTGTATTATGAACAACTTTGTAAACTATGGTGTTTAAATAAGGTTTTTAAAAATATAAAAAATAATGTATTCTTTGCATGTAGTCGTCCAGTTTTGCCAGCACCATTTGTTAAAAAGGCTTTCCTTACTCCACTTCACATTTCTTGCTCCTTTATCAAAGATTAGGTGATCATGTTTGAGGGGAGATTGTCAGTATATTCAACCCTGTTCCATAGGTCTGCAGCTCTCCCTTTGTTCTAGTACCATGCTGTTTTAATTATTACTGCTTTGTAGTAGAGTTTGAGGTTCAGGAGGTTAATTCCCCCCATCTTCTTTTTCCCAAGAATTGCTTTAGCTATTTGTGGCGGCTTATTGTTCCATATAAATTTCAGGAGTGTTCGCTCCATTTCTTTAAAGAATGTCATGGGTATCCTAATAGGGATCGCATTGAATTTGTACAGTGCTTTGGGAAGTATTGCCATTTTGACAATATTAATTCTCCCAATCCATGAACAAGGGATATTTTTCCATTTCCTCACATCCTCTTTTATTTCCAGAAACAGCGTTTTGTAGTTTTCTTTGTACAGGTCCTTTACTTCCTTAGTTAAACTAATTCCTAGGTAGTTGATTTTCTGGCATACAATTGTGAACGGGATTGTTTTCTTCATGTCATTTTCTTCTCTCTCACTATTTGCATATAGGAAAGCCATGGACTTTTGGGTATTGATTTTATAGCCTGCCACTTTACTATACTTAAGTCTATCGTTTCTAGGAGTTTCTTCATAGAGGTTTTAGGGTTCTCTAAGTATAGTATCATATCATCTGCAAATAGTGAGAGCTTGATTTCTTCCTTTCCTATTTGGATGCCCTTAATCTCTTTTTCTAACCTAATCGCTATTGCTAGTATTTCCAGTACTATGTTGAACAGTAGTGGAGACAGTGGGCATCCTTGTCTCGTCCCTGATCTTAGGGGGAAGGCTCTCAGTTTTTCCCCATTGAGGATGATGCTTGCTGTAGGTTTATGGTAGATGGCTTTAACTATATTGAGGAAAGTCCCCTCTATCCCCAATTTAGTGAGGGTTTTCATCATAAACGGGTGCTGGTTTAGAAGCCAGCCACACACTGTAGGGGCAAAGGCAGCTCAGATAGAGAAGGGAGCACCAAATAAAGGGTGCTGGGAAGATTTTCCCAGGATGGGAGACGCATGCTGAAAGTAGTCTATAGACAGAACATGATTGCCACCCAGTGTCTCTTCTGCAGACCACAGCACCCAAAAGGAGAGATAGAACAAAAGGGAGTGCCCTGCCACAGAGGCAGGGTGGTATGGTGGATGGGAGGGGTGGGAGGGATACTGGGATTGGTTGGGGTGGAGAATGGGCACTGGTGGTGGGATGGGTACTCGGTCATTGTATAACTGAAACCCAAGCACAACAACTTGCAAGTCTACAACTGTAAAAAAAAGAAAGAAAGAAAGAAAGAAAGAAAGAAAGAAAGAAAGAAAGAAAAGATCAATGTAATGCCTTTAATGTTGAAATTAATGTAGGAAATACAGATGTGTATTTATAATGGGGCACACCTGAAACATGTGCATTCTATACTTTAATTTGCTTCAATTAAAACATTTTAATGTGAAAAATTCTTTAAAAAAATTGTGTTCTTGGCTCTTTACAGGTCAGCTATGCCTCCTCCAGTAGACTCCTCAGCAATAAGAATCAGTTTAAGTCCTTCCTGCGTACTATTCCCAATGATGAACACCAGGCCACTGCAATGGCAGACATTGTTGAATATTTCCGCTGGAACTGGGTGGGCACAATTGCAGCTGATGATGACTATGGTCGGCCAGGGATCGAGAAGTTCCGAGAAGAAGCTGAGGAGAGGGATATCTGCATTGACTTCAGTGAACTCATCTCTCAATACTCCGACGAAGAAGAGATCCAACAGGTGGTAGAAGTGATCCAGAATTCCACAGCCAAGGTCATTGTCGTTTTCTCCAGTGGGCCAGACCTTGAACCACTCATAAAAGAGATAGTCCGACGCAATATTACCGGCAGGATCTGGCTGGCCAGTGAGGCTTGGGCCAGCTCTTCTCTGATAGCTATGCCTGAGTACTTCCATGTGGTTGGAGGCACCATTGGATTTGGTCTGAAAGCTGGGCAGATCCCAGGTTTCAGGGAATTCCTGCAGAAAGTCCATCCCAGAAAGTCTGTTCACAATGGTTTTGCCAAAGAGTTTTGGGAGGAAACATTTAATTGTCACCTCCAAGAAGGTGCAAAAGGACCTTTACCCATGGAAACCTTCCTAAAAAGTAACGAAGAAGGTGTTAGCAGAATAAGCAACAGCTCCACAGCCTTCCGACCTCTCTGTACTGGGGATGAGAACATTAGCAGTGTTGAGACCCCTTACATGGATTATACACATTTGCGGATATCCTACAATGTCTACTTAGCAGTCTACTCCATTGCTCATGCCCTGCAAGATATATATACATGCTTACCTGGAAGAGGGCTCTTCACCAATGGCTCCTGTGCAGACATCAAGAAAGTTGAAGCTTGGCAGGTACATACTTAACATAGAAAATAGTTCATTATATAATAAAGCAGAGTTGGACTAATTCATGCAAGACAGGTGTACTGGATCCTTCAAAACAGGCAACATCAAAGTATGGTTATCAAATGTAGCTTTAGATTCAGATTGTCTTTTCAGTATATAAGTAACTGATTTCTGCAAAATAGTTATTTAATTTAATTATCTGTTGCAAGTCTTGACCAATTCGTCTTTAGTCCTAAAGTTCAGAATAACTAAAGAATGGCCACTAAATGTTCTTAAGTCCCCCCGAAGAGATTTAGTACTGACTGAAGTGTTTTTCTTTAATGCTTAAATTAAAAATATTTCCTTGTCAGCAAAAAAATTATTTACTGAGTACTTCTTATATGCTATTGTGCAAAGGTTCATAAAACTAGTGTTACTGTGTTTAACTACCACTTTTGCCTTTATTTTATTCATAGTCTCTGTTGGACCAACCAACAAACCAACTAAGCTTAGGACACAAGCAAATCAAAGGCACTGAAAAATAAATCTTAAAAGTTTTTAATGTTAGATATTTCAAAAAAAGCACTGAAATAGTTACAGAATATAATGAGTTGAAATGAAATTCTTATTACATGGCTTAGTTTTGTTTTATAAGTTTGAATTATTCATAAGAGAGACATCATTCACTTTCATTTCATAGAACTGAAGATTAAAATCTGGCTTGACTTATATCCTGCATGTTCTGCATATACACCTTAATTTTTCAATCAGGCCATGTTCTACATTCTTTTTGTACTTTCTACAATTCCAGACTGACATTTTGGAAAGAGTACATGACAGTGGGGGTTGTCTTTGAAATTTAATCAAATTATATATCCACGGGGGGTTTTAACTCTAGTACTCCCTATTTACTAACAGAATCATTTAAGAAAAAATACTGCTTTATGTTACAGTCAACATCTGTAAAATGTCTCTACTGTCTTTTTGTAAATGAAATATGAAAATATGCATGAAAGAGCACTGTAGCACTGTCCTCCCATTGTTCATAAATTTTCTCGAGCAGGTCAGTAACATCTGCATTGTGAAACTTGTTGTTACTGTGTTTGGCATATCGAATACATCATGGGAAGCTTGCCAGGCTTTGCCATACAATACACGAAAGAAACTTATAAATGTTCAGTCTCTAAACAGATGATGATTGTTTTACTAGGATTTCAGTAGTCCTCTAATTAATCAATTAGAAAGGAAAGTTAACTAAAACAACTTTTCAGCTTTTTAAGAACCCAATTGATACATGCTTCTGAGAGAAGGAACAAGGAGGATACAATCCAGATCAATTATTTCAGAGATTCTTATAGAATAAGGTGTGACAGTCTAGAATTATGGAAAGAACAATAATGACCTGCAAATATTTTGTTTATGTGGGAACTCCCTTGAACATAGTATTGTTAGTTAAAGTTTCCATTCTCTATGAGATGTATTAGAGTTTCCATCCTGGCACTGCACACCCCTCCACTCTGTCACAGAAAAAGAAGCTCTGATAAAAGTTCAAGACCAAGGGTCGAAGCAATAGCACAGTGAGTAGGGCATTTGCCTTGCATGCGGCCGACCTGGGTTCAATTACCAGCATCCCATATAGTCCCCCCAGCACTGCCAGGAGTAATTCCTGAGTGCATGAGCCAGTAGTAACCCCTGTGCATCTCGGGGTGTGATGCAAAAATAATAATAATAATAATAATAAATTATTAATAATAAGTTAAAGACCAGAAAGACTTCAGGATCAATGATGCTAAGTGATGGTGAATTTGGAGAATTAAAGAGGAAATCTTAAAAGTAGATACTTTAGTATTTCTCTCTTCCCTTCCATGTATCCAAGAATCCTGGGTTTGTGAAACCTGCAGGATCAGTTTCCTTCAACTACATTTCCTTCAATAAAGTTGAAGGAAAACCTGACTTCCAATAGATATTTTGACATTTCTGTTCTTCATTGACTCCTCTCTCAGATGAGAAAGTAAGATCTAAATGGCCAAGACAAAGCTTTGGCATGAGGGAAGAAAAAGTCCAAAATTATTTTATAGTCAAGTTTGGGACTTTTAGTTGCTTACTGTAGACAACCCAAATGAAACTGGCCAAACAGAAGAAGGAATATTATCAGTAGCTCATAATATTGAAAATCCCAGAAGTATCTCAGGTTCTACAGGATACTTTCATCTCATTTATTTTTTTCTAATTCTTCAGGATTAAGTTTTTAACCTCTGTCTTCTTCAAGTTAACAAAATTCTAACTCCTATGCATTCCTTTCTTCCCAGAATCTCTTGCTGTACCAGAAACAATATTGACAGACTAGACTAGGGTCACAGATCCATCCCTGATGCTAAGAGCAAATTCTTCCCCAAATTATATAAACTTCAAGTAAGAGAGGGACTGAATCCCCACAGTGAAATCAAGATGCTATCACCTAAAGGAAGAGAAAATATAATCAAGACAGATAAAATAAAAATCATCCACAACACAGACCCCTCAGCTAACCCACTGAAGTACAGTTATCTCCTCTTGTCTGGCACAATTCATCCAATTAAAAAAAACAGATAGGATAAAATGGTTAGAGCTCTAAAAAGAAATAGTAGAGATTATTCTCCTAATAGAGGAGAAAATAGATCTAGTGTGTTTGTCCCAATTTTCCTCTGAGTCTCAGAAACCAAGTTTTGTGAGCATTCTGAGTTAGGAGAACATTCTAGCTAAGTTTCTGCCTCTGTCTCCTCTGATGACCAGGAAATGGATCATCAGTTATTCATGCTTATAATTAAGACTTACATAGAGACCCATCTGCCAAGCAATCTTATTCATGTACCTTGGCTAGGAATTCACCCTCATCTTCTCTTAATTCTACTCAACAAGCTAACCTGCCACGCACCTTTCCATAAACCAGTTTAGTAATTTTTGAAAAAGTATTGTTACTAAGATTGTATCCCATACTTGGAAGACCATCAATTTTTTGTCTTCTCTTATGCCAAGCTCAAACTTTTAAATCCTTCAAAATTCACTTTTTCCTGGAATTCTTTTCAGACTACATTCCCCCAGTCTACCACACATGTATTTTCTGCTATTTCTTCTTCATTTTTACCATTTACATACAAAGTTTAAGTTTCCACAACCCTTCACTTCATTGAAACTGATTCCGATTAAATATATATTAAATAAAGATAAATCATGTTGCTGTTGTTTTCTTTTTTCTTTAGTTTTTGAACCACACCTGGTTGTACTCAGGGCTTAATCCTGGCTCCATGCTCAGGAATTACTCCTGGTAGGCTCAGGGAACTATACGGGGTGCTGGGGACTGAACCTATGTTGTCCTTGTACAAGGCAAGCACCCACTGTACTATAGCTTCAGCTTATGCTTATTTTTAGTTGACTTTCCTCTTTAAATATCACTATACTAACAAGTATTAAAGGTAACACTAACAGATAATTTATGCACACACAACACACAGTTGCCTTCTAAACTTCATAGAAACTCGAGGTCTCCTACCCTATTTCTTTGTCCTTATCACTCTATCTCCTCCATTTTTCTATAAGGTTTGTAAGAATTGGAACTATGACTGTATTGTTTAGTACTGTGTTCAGATACCTAACACCTGAGCATGTATATAAAAAGAATTAATGAATGGCAGTCAGAACCAAAAGGTAATTCTCATTTATGCTTTACTGAACAACAATTTGGCTTTAAAATTCTTTGAGGAAGTACCATCAAAGGCCACAAGATGGAAATATTACCACATAAAAGGTAATATGTGATCATCATCAGTCTGTGTCTGCATATTTTCTTCATTGTCTTTTAATTAGCGTTTTTACTTTCTCTTTCCCTTTATTTATTCTGTCTTTTCCCATACGTTCCTTCCCAAATAAGTAAAGTAAAAGTAAAGTAAAGTAAAGGCCCTCCCGTTGTTCGTCGATTTGCTCAAGCGGGCCTAGTAACATCTCCATTGGAGACCTTGTTGTTACTGTGTCTGGCATATCGAATACTCTCGGTAGCTTGCCGGGCTCTCCGAGAGGGGCGGAGGAATCGAACTCGGGTCGGCCATGTTGGCTGCGTGCAAGGCAGACGCCCTACCTGCTGTGCTATCGCTCCAGCCCTTCCCAAATAAGAGAAATAATTTGGAGTTATATTTTCTTTTTTAAATTCAACTACTAATTCCTTATTTTAAAATTCTAAAAGAGAAATAAAGGCCTAGGGGAAATATCGAAATTATTTTGTAACCCATTTTGCTGTTTTGTGGGTCAGTGATTATTAGTGGAAGATTCCCTATCATTGTTTTTAAGGTAGAATGGTTTCCAGCTTGCTTGCTTGCTTTTTTTCTCTTTTTCTTTTTCTTCCTTCCTTTCTTTTCTTTCCTTTTTTTTTAATGTAAGAGCACTGCTATTTATTAGCCACTGATTAAGTGGACTGAAGCGGGCACGAACTCCACATTTTTTAATCTTTTATTGAATATCCATGAGATAGACCATTACAAAGCTGCTCATAATTGGGCTTCTGCCATACAATGATCCAGCCCCCATCCCTCCACCAGTGTACATTTCCCACCACCAATGTCCTCTGCTTCCCTCCCACCATCCCCAACACCCCACTCCCCATCTCCAGCCTCCCTCGAAGGCAGGCATTTTTCTTCTGTCTCTCTCTTTTTCCTTTTGCGCATTATTGTTTACAATACAAGTACTAAGAGGTCATCGCGTTTGTTCAGGGCATTCAGAATTTTTATCAAGATGATAAGGCTGGAATAGCTTTTTAACTGGATGGCAGCTTTGGGGTGTGGACATGACTGCTGAGACCTCTGAACTCCACCTTACTTTTGTTTTTCCTTTTTATAAATTTATTTGTTGATAGCACAGTGGTAGGGCATTTGCCTTGCATGCAGCTGACGCAGGTTCGATTCCTCTGCCCCTCTCAGAGAGCCCGGCAAGCTACCGAGAGCATCTCGCCTGCACAGCAAACCCTGGCAAGCTACCTGTGATGTTTTCGATATGCCAAA